TGAAATTGTTACATAGTCTCATACTCGTATTGCCAATTAAATTTTTTTAGAACTGACAAATGAAAAAATTTTGAGCGTCTAACAAAATTATTCAATCATAAAGTAAAAAAGTCTAAAAATACACAAAAATTCATTAAAATCACTAATGATATCAAGTATACAAAATGTTAGCAAACAATTTCAAGTTGAAGACGGTGAGGCTTAACTGGCGGTTTCCAAAAATTTAATTAGTTGATCGAAATTTTTTGTGTGTCTTTATTATAATAAAGTTGTTGAATCATTTAAATTTAAAGCACAATCAATTATAATTCAAAAATTATTTAATAAGAAGCAACTATGAGTTTCGGAACATAATAACACGAAATTAGACTTTGTGAGTTACATGAAAGGGCAAAACTTTTGACATAATCCAAATTTCTCTACAATCTGTTTGTATATTGTATTTGATAGAAGATCCAAAATTCAATACAATTGAATATAATGAACGGAGTTTTTCAAAATTTTGTTGCATTACCTTCTTGTGGGAGCATGTTACTAACATCATTACGAAGTCTAGCTTTCACTTTCGTATTATTATAAGAATATTTTGCTTTTTCTTTTATTGCATTCCAACTCAAATGGAATTGAGCAAGTGTTACTATGGCTATACTATATTAGCGCATAATCTGGGTTTATGAACAATAATCGATCGCATTCACATCATGAATTATAATAAAAGATTCTTACATATTGAATATGTATTGAAACAAAAAGTAAAGTCAATATGATCAATATCATCAGTGGGGACTTTTTTAAAATTTTGCCGCCTTTATAGAAATATTTTTTAATGCTTTAATCTTTATTGTTTATTTAATTTTTTTTTTCTTGTATAAAATACTTGTATCAACGTATCGTTCATCATCATTTCATATTCTTTTCAACAATTAATATACACCATCTTTAACTAAACTAAAACGCATTCACATACACACAATTGAAACAAAATAAGAGTTAACAAATTTACCATCAGTCTCCATAAACGTATGTATATTGTTTATATTTTATATATACATATACGAATATAGACGCCCGCTATATAGCCATATTAAAAAAATATTCCTACGTTTAAAAGTCATCAACGATAAGAATTTCAACATTAAGTTTCTATAAAAGCAAAACGTGTTGATTAGTATCGCTACATTTTATTTCAGTTTATTGTTTAATTTCTTTTTAGTTCTCTCATGAAACTGTTTGTGATCAAACAAAATTCAATTGTCATCATTATACATATATTAATTAATACCATCAAAATAATCATTATCATCATATAGTTCTGTGCATGAAAGACAAAGAAAAACGAAATTTAATATTAAAAGAAGTGAAGTAATCTAGCTGCCCGAGCATGGTGAAATACATAAAACAAAAACAAAAAATATATTTTAATTCAAAATTGTATTTTCTACTGTTACAATTTGAATGCACTTTTGTTAATAAATAAATAGAATTGCAATCCGACTTTTTAATAAAGATTTTGAATATTACAAACAATACAATTATTATGACCCTGGTACATTTTATAGCAGAATCAATTAAACCAATTCAAATTAAGACAAAACGATTGTCAACCAATTCTTAAATTACATAAAATGTATACAGAGTTCAAAAATAATTTATAGTTTTTGAAATATCAGCAATAAATTGATGTTGTAATGTTACAATTTTATTTAAATCGTACAAGATCTTCTCTTTTGAAAACTTTATATATAGAACGAACTTTATAGAACGAACATAACCGACCGCATTGTGTATTGTCTAGTTAAGTGAAAGTGTTACAGAATATTATAAAAATGCCTGTTAAATACTTCTTTCAAATTTTTAAGGCATTAGTAAGCTTATAGTTAACATACCTAAAAAAATGTAAATTTGGCTCTTAGTAGAGTTTCGCTTTGTGCTACCCCAATTCCCTGAAATGCTCGTCAGTTAGTTTCGGTAACAACCAGAACTCAAATATCAAATTTCAAGAAATTCCATCAATTCGTTCCGTAGATATGGTGAAAAATGTAAAATCGGCCCGCGAATCAGTTTTCGAGCCCTGATCTTTCCAAAAAATTTATATGTTCATTATTTTAGTAAGAAGAATTTAAATATTGAATTTCAATGAAATCGGTTGATTATTTCTCTTTACGCAAAAATGCATATACAACACCTGATTTCTTCCAAAAGTTAGGAGGTTCTGCGTACGATCGAATGAAGCCTATATATGAAATTTTAAGTAAATCTGTTGAATATTTTCTTCATAATAATCAAAAATGTAAAACAGGCCCGCTAAAAAGTGGAGCTTGCGAAGCCGGATATATCCTAAAAGGTGATGCATCCGTGCCATGGTCGAAATAAACTTACATATGAAATTTCATCAAAATCGGTTCAACCGAACTTGAGATACACGCGTGAACACAGACAGACTGACAGGTTGCTAAAACAGTTTATTTACACTGCCCTACCATGGAGAAGTGCATTCTCACCGAAAACTCGATATGCAAAATTTGTTGCCTTCACATAACCTACCTATTGTATACACAATACGGTCGGTAAAAATAAGCTGTTAATGGAAATTGTCATTTGCAAGTTCGCTTTAAATACAGGAGCTTCCACGTACCTCTACAATAACTCCAATTTTTGTTTCATGTATTAAAACCTGAATAATCTTTGTAATACCAACATTCTTGCGAGCAACATGAATTTATTGAATTTGAAAGCCAATCATCTACATAAATTTGTAGTAAAAGTTGTAATACTATTTTGTTAGGAAAACCAAATTTGAGTACTTTAAAGAGCTTTTTTAATTTTAAATATTTGAAAAAAACGCATTTCTTCTTTGCTATTATGAATATATGAATTTCGTAAAGTTTCTAAAATCAACATCAATTCACATGTTGACAAGATCCGTCTTTTACATAACTTTAAGCTTACCATTCAAAATTTTAATGTCAAAAATATTTACTTTTATTTTGACTTACCAGTAGCATATTAATGTAAACATTGAATGAACATTTAAATTTCAATAAAACGGTAACACTTTGAATTTTCATAAAAAAAAACTATAAAATTTTATGGTACATATAATTTTGAACATTTTATTTTCATCAAGTTGAGTATGAAAGTGGAAATTTTTAATGTTACGCATCATAGTTCCTGGCGTATAAAATTATTTTATTTTTAATTTAAAGCGGTATATGTACCCAAATAACGAATTTCTTCTGTGGTAGTTTAGATGATATTTCCTATTATCAGAGACATTGAAAATAGAGAAAACCGAATAAAAAATCAAATAAAAAAAACCATGATGCAAAACAAAATATGAAGAAGGTGGTAAATGAAAAATCAAGACTAGCTCAATAAAACTATCAATTCAATTCATTTAAAATTATTGAATTTTCATTTTCCATTTTTATTTTTTGGAAGTACATAAGTATACGTATGAAAATATTTTGTTATAGAAAAAATTAGAAATGATCATAAGCATTTGGTTTTTTATTTTTTCAATTTACTAATTGTGGATTGTAAATAAATTAAATAAAATATTGATTACAAAACGTACATATTTGTTTTTTAGAACTTAAGGGTCTTGGTTATATCAGCCTGTTTATCTTTACAATATTTCATGAAGCTGAATAAAATAAATGTATTTAATTATCATAAAAAAAACTTAAATGTCTTCTTGAAAAACACGAAAAGTAATTGGATGTTTTTAACTGATTTCAATTTTTACGACAACCGCACATCTTTACCATACTACACCCAAAATCCTGCTCGATAAAAAAAAAAATTTTTTTAAATACTTTGTGAGAAAACTTTTATTAAAAATCACAAGTTGAGGGAGTGGTTTTTTTTAGCACTTTTCCCAAAATCTTTTGATAGAAACTGCTTATTAGTTTCGCTCTGTTCTTCCGTCCTTGAACATGTTTACAAAACTTCTACACCCTAAAATATAGAAAGCTGAAATTTCATATGTACATAGATCTTTACTAGAAACTTATTTCCGTAGAAGAAAATTTTTACCTATCTCCCCCTTCTAGATGTTTACCCTCTACCCGCTCCCTAAAATGCCTTTTTTTAGCTATTTGTTGCTACAATAGTTTATTTCGTTAGAAGAAAGTTTTTTTCATCTCCACCACCTCTCGAAATTTCTCAAAGTTATCACCTTTCAAAATTTGTAAAATTTTGAGATTTGTAAAATTTTTGACGCCTTATATTTCCGAAACCGCAAGCTTTTTCAAATTTCTATAAACGCAAAAAGCTAACAGTAAACTCCTTGATATTAAAAAATATAATTATTTTTCTTTAACTCACGCAATTAATTATTAAAATCGAGCATTATGTTAAGCCCTCTTTAAATTAATTTTTGCTTTATTTCAAAGACTGCATAAATCGTTAATCTTAAATATATGAATGAAAATAATTTTAATAGTGTGGTAGTTGAAAGGAAAAGTGCTACAATACAAACTATTGGTTTGACCCCACTTTATTTATTCCTATTATCAACAAAATTTTTGTAAATGACAATCCCTTCGAAATCAAAAGATTTTTAAATTTTTAAGTAACTTTTGTTTATTGAAAAATAAATTTTTTTATATGTAAATACAAATACAGAGTCCCACGATGAATTATTATTATTATTATTATTATTATTACTATTATTATTATTATTTTCATTACTATTATTATTTTTCTAATATTATTATCAGACAAATAGCTTAGGCCAAGCATCAATTATCATGGGAAAATAACATTGCATAAAAGAGCCAAAATAATCATTATTTAGACGCACAAAACGCGGCTATCAGATTGCCAAGCAAAATCATCAGCATTTAATGAGGAAAAATAAGAAAAATTGTGAAAATTAAAGAGTCAGTAAGGATTAGAGTCTATTACTATGGAGTAGTTTGCAACTCAACTATTTTTGAATATAGTTAAATTACAAACTAATGGTATATATTGCTGTTATAATTTCTGGAAAGTACAGTTCGAAGAGCATCTTTAATAGCATCAAGACCAAAACAATCGCAATTACAATTGGCGATACGCAACATCTTAATCATCGAGTTAATTCTATCATAATCCATATTGTGATTACGAATATTAAAAAACTCCACTGATTTCAAGTTGTTCCAATTTTCCCTTAAAATTTGATTTAAAATACTTTATTAAAAACTTCAATATCATTGAACGAGGCATACTTTAAGCCTTTAACGCATCAAATGTTGTTGGGCGACCTACATATATTACAATAAACTAGAATTTCTATTGCACAACTTATATTTAAATAAATATAATATAGCCCTTAAAATATTATGCAACCCCAATTTTATAAATTCAAAGGTACTGTGATCGAAAATTACCAACGACAAATAATAATTAAAATACTTGTAATTAATCAAATATAATAAATTTATGAATAGGAACATGAATTTTTCTAAAATTTAGAAGAAGATAGTAGAATCAAAACCCACATATGTATTTGAAAAATTCAAATAAATTAAACTAATGATAAGATTTTATTCCTCTTCTGAATATACACGTTTGCCTTTCATAAACATGTTGCTTAATCCCGTTATTTCACAAAAAAATAGATTAAAAAATCGTAGTAGAATCAAAATCCTAAATTCGTATATCATATCAAAACCAAATGTATCAAAAACCTTTATTTGCAACACAAAAAAGTTTTTGCAGCAAAATCCCATGTTTGCTTGGATGATAGCATTAGTAGCTGTAAAATAATGTTTCAAAATACATAATTTGCAGATTTAAAATTTGATAATATATTTTTACCATGAAAATTGTCGGATTTTAATTTGCTTTCTTAAGTTGGGTTTTTTGTTCAATATGTGCCGTTTATCTTCAACATTTCTTTACAGAAAGGGAAGCTGTTTTTTTCACGAATATAAATAATAGTATTTGAAATATGAGTGCTGAATTATTCGTAAAATGTTTTTCCTATTTTACTAAACTAATTTCTACAAATGTATGGGGTTTGATTCTATTATCTTAATTCATGATTTGCTTTTTTAAGATTTCAATTATGGCAAAATCAGACCAAAAATGGACTGCTATCCAGAAAAAATTAGCATTGATTAAAGTATTTTTAAATTCCAAATTTATTTTTCCAATTATAATTTATAATTTTACTTTTAAATTTATGTCAATTTGGACATTATGCTTAATTTGGACATTTTTCAAGAAGAAATGCTCAAATATTTTAAAAATTTTTGAAACATATGAGTTCTAAAGCGAATGAAATTTTTCTTAAGTTTGATTGGCCTTACCTTTATTGTATCTTAATAGTAAAGTTAAATAACTTTATATTATATAAATGACATATAAATATCTTAATGGTTTTATATTTACTTTTGTATTTTAAATTTAACAATATAACCAAATATGAAAAGAGTTTTAAAAGTCTATCTATCAAAAAAGTACATTGAAGAAATACTTTGCCTTGATTTATTTTTCAAATTCATTTTTGAAATAGCATTGAACAGCAATTCAAATCAATTGGACAATAAAAAAATTGATTTTTCTTAACCAATTTATAATTACAGTTAAACTTGTTAACTGAACTTTAAACGTAATAAATAATTAATTTCGTTTTTCTAACAGATACAAAAGTCGAGCTCATAGCACTAAGAAATCAGTGAAAATTCGCTAATAGTAATCTCAATATAATTCAATATTGCAAACGTTATTCCCACTTTATGAGGTTCACATTTTTGCTCTTAAATATTTATATGTTCAAAGTCAAACACCCGCATAATTTGAATTTTCTTCAAAGTAAAATAATTGAAATTCTTATTCTTTAGGTTTAATACCTTGTTGTAGCTCCTGGGTGGCAAGAATTATGAGATCTCCGTGCCAAATTTTCAAAAATTATATATTTTGTTATACAAACGTGCCAAGAAATTTTTATAAGGGAAGTAAACTGAAAAATAGCTTTGTATAACAATTTCAAAAAATTAGCTCTATGATGTACATACTTACATAATATGTATGTTTATAAATATCAATTAATTTTTATTTGAATAACAAAAATTCAATTTTATAAAATCTAAATAATAAACAAGTAAAAACGTTTTAGTCGGCATAAACCGAATGAATATACTCTGCACCTTTCGTTGTTGTATAGCAATTACTCGAACCTTTATTTGATTCTATAGAAACTTCACGGATATGTCTGACCTATAATTGGACACCCGACTGTCAAGTTTCATGAATCTAACATTATAATTTTTTCAAATAGTTAAAATTAGCTTTTGGAGTTGTATGGCAAGTACCTGAACCTGTCAAGCAATTCCACTAAAACTTCAGAAATATATTTGACCTAATGGACACATGACTGCCAAGTTTTATAAATCTGACTTTATTATTTTTCCGAATAATTCCGAATATAAAAAATTTGCTTTTGGAGTTGTATGGCAACCACCCGAACCGGTGCAGCTGCCATACAACTGTCCCATTAAAATTTTTAGAGCATGTGTAGAATATAATTGGACACGTATATACAAAATTTTATGTTTATAGCTTTATTTGTTTTTGAAATATTTAAAATAAATTCTTTGAGTTGTATGGCAGCTACCCGAACCCGCTGTCCGACTTAGTCCCATAACAATAGGGTTCGTCCTTGGCACAAAAGAAAAAACTTGTGAAAGTCTGGCACGCGTGCCAATGATTTGCCATTTAGTTCGCAGCCAAAGGATCGGGCAGAGTTATCACTCATGAAAAAATTAAACGGCTAAATTTTCGAAAAAAAGACCAACAAAAAGGGTTAAAATTGATAATATGCTTAATTTAAAATTCAACGCTTATTTGTGGAAAAAAAAATTCATCATGGATGGGATATTATCTTATATGTCTAATTTAATAAAAATTTAATTCGAATTTCAAGCTTTTTATTTGAAACTTTGCATTGGCTTACATTGTTGGTTAATTTTCGGGATATATGTATGTATATAAAATTTGAAATGAAATCTTTAGCAAAACAAATATGTATGTAGAAAAAGTACAACATAATGTTGACGTGGAAACTTTTGCGTATTTTACAACTAAAAGCACAATCTAATAAAGAAATGGTAATAGTAAATCTCCAATACTAAGAGCATTATACACAATTTGTAAAATCTAATTTAAACTTGAAAATGAGAAAAATTAAAGTTTTCTTGAAGATTTAGAAAATTGCAAAATACGACTTATTACGGAAGAAATGGGCCGTGGGGCCAATATCATTCCAAAAAAGGAAAATGGGCCACGTTTAAATGAGTCAAAGCGGCAAAATTAAAAAAATTTTCTCCTCGAAGTGAGCTCGAACTAGTTTACCCTGCCCTTTTTTAGGTGAACGCTTCACCAACTGATCTACAAAAGTATGAAGAAATTATTGAAAAATTGTTCTCTACATTGCTTTCTACAGTAATCGCCATGATTATATGAATTTTTATATGTGCTAATGTCATTACTGTTAATGTCATTACTGAAGTGTCATTACTGTTAATGTAGGTACGTACGTTGTTATTACAGATTTGTAAATAGGTACAACTAATTTATAATAATAACCCAATTATTGATATTGTGTATTTATTAATTTAGACACAATTGGATATTTTTCAATATTAAACATAATGTTTATACGATGTTAAGATTTTTAAATATATCTCAATAAATTAAAATAACTAAAAAAATAAATATATTAACATTTCAATAAAAATATTAAAATAACTTTCATTATTATGTAACATAACTACTAGTTTCATTTCAGAAAAGGTTTTTGAAATTAAATTATTTTAAATAAATATCGTATACCATTAACATATTTATCGAAATTTTCAGGTGTATATATAAAAAATCAATACCATTAACTTTTATATTTAAATTTTTATTGAAATCACCAAGCACTTTTGCAATTATTGTCTTTAAAAACGAAAATCTCCTTTCAAAATTAATTCATACCAAGTTTGAATCTCAATTTAAGAATACATAACTTAATTTTATTCATTTTATTTTTAGGGCGAAAAAAAATTAATTAAAATTATTTCTTTTATATTTTATATCACATTTTCTACATTGTAAACAAAAATCATTGAAGGAAAATACTTGTTCAACAATTAAAATCCTACCGTATCCTAAAAATATTTTCAATCTTAAATTCATACTTACATCTGAAATATTGCCTTAATATACATGTCCGATAAACATATAAAAAATAAAGTAGGAATCATAAGTATAACAATACGACAAATTACATTTTCCAATTGAAGATTACTGTACCCAGCCAAAGAAATAGCAAAATCGCACAAAAGACTTTTTATATGTATGTATGTATATGTAAATAACGAAAAATAATTAAAATAAAAAAACAAAAAGTATTCAAGAAACTAATATGAAGGACTCTGGAATGTGTTTCTCGGATAAAAACAAACGATTATTTCCTTTCACCCCAAAAAAAAAGGTCAAAAAATTTTGGCCAAGGATCCAGAAAGAAATATAATTACATACACACATATCTTCATATTGCATATTTATTTATGTACAACAGAATTGAAAAAAACGTTACTACTATTTCTATTATTTCATTTTAAATTTCGCAAAAGAAAAGTATGCTTTTATTACAATACATACTCCCCACGTTTGGGCTTTACATAATATATGTGACCTTTGAAAGCAAAAAAACAAGAAAACAAATTGACTGACCTCTACATTATTTACCATAAGGGTGAACAATAAAGGATAAAATGTTCTCTTTTTATACCCTGCACTTCGTGAAGGGTATATTAACTTTGGTATGGAGTTTGTAACTACTTGAAGGAGTCATCTGCGGTATGGACATATATATATATTCTTGCTCAGCGTAAAATTCTGCGTCGATTTAGACATGTCCGTCCGTCCGTCCGTCCGTCCGTCCGTCCGTCCGTCCGTCCGTCCGTCCGTCCGTCCGTCCGTCCGTCCGTCCGTCCGTCCGTCCGTCCGTCCGTCCGTCCGATCGCACGATAACTCAAAAACGAATAATGCAATCGACACCAAACTTTCACAAGTTTTTTCTTTTGTGCCAAGGACGAACCCTATTGTTATTGGACTAAGTCGGACAACGGGTTCGGGTAGCTGCCATACAACTCAAGGAGTTTATTTTAAATATTTCGAAAACTAATAAAGCTATTAATATAAAATTTTGTATACATGTGTCCAATTATATTCTACACATGCTCTAAAAATTATAATGGGATAGCTGCACCGGTTGGGGTGGCTGCCATACAACTCCAACAGCAAATTTTTTATATTTGGCAAAATAATAAAGTCAGATTCGTGAAACTTGGTAGTCATGTGTCCAATTATAGGTCAAATGTATTTCTGAAGTTTTAGAAGAATTGCTTGACAGGTTCGGGTACCTGCCATACAACTCCAGAAGCTAATTTTAAATATTTGGAAAAACAATAAAGTGAGATTCATGAAACTTGGCAGTTGTGTGTCCGATTGTAGATCAGATATATTTGTGAAGTTTTAGTGGAATTGCTTGACAGGTTCGGGTACTTGCCATACAACTCCAAAAGCTTATTTTAAATATTTGGAAAAATAATAGAGTCAGATTCATGAAACTTGGCAGTTGTATGTCGAGTTATAGGTCAGATATATTTCTGAAGTTTTGGTGGGATTGCTTGGCAGGTTCGAGTAGCTCCCATACAAGTCTAAAAGTTTATTCTTAATATTTGGAAAAATAATAAAGTCAGATTCATGAGACTTGGCAGTCGTGTGTCCAATTATAGGTCAGACATATTTCCAAAGTTTTGGTGGGATTGCTTGGCAGGTTCGAGTAGCTCCCAAACAAGTCTAAAAGCTTATTCTTAATATTTGGAAAAATAATAAAGTCAGATTAATGAAACTTAGCAGTTGTGTGTCCGATTGTAGATCAGATATATTTGTGAGGTTTTAGTGGAATTGCTTGACAGGTTCGGGTACTTGCCATACAACTCCAAAAGCTTATTTTAAATATTTGGAAAAATAATAAAGTCAGATTCATGAAACTTGGCACTTGTATGTCGAGTTACAGGTCAGACATATTTCTGAAGTTTTGGTTGAATTGCTTGACAGGTTCGAGTAGATACCATACAAGCCTAAAAGCTTATTCTTAATATTTGGAAAAATAATAAAGTCAGATTCATGAAACTTGGCAGTTGTGTGTCCGATTGTAGATCAGATATATGAAGTTTTGATGGAATTGCTTGACAGGTTCAGGTACTTGCCATACAACTCCTAAAGCTAATTTTAAATATTTGGAAAAATTATAAAGTCAGATTCATGAAACTTGGCAGTCAGATGTCCAATTATAGGTCAGACATATCCGTGAAGTTTCTATAGAATGACTTCACGGGTTCGTGTAATTGCTACATAATAACGAAAGGTGCAGGGTATAATTCCGTCGGTTTATACCGACTGAAACGTTTTTACTTGTTGTTTTTTGATTTCCTATCAAATATCTGCAAGAAATATTAAAAAGGAATAGCGTTAACGTAATATAACAAACAATTTGACACATTCTTACGATAAAATAAGAACACATGGCAGGTAGAAAAATTATGAAATTTTTTGAACTATTAAAAATTTCAAAAAGATTGAAAAGAAATAGGAAATATCTTAATAAATTTGATACTTCACCCTTTTTTTGGACAAGAACTAATCTTGGAAAAAAATTCGTCAAGACTGCGTTATAACAAAAAATTTTGGGCGTTTTTTGAATTCTTCTTCCTTTTTATACTCTTCGGTTTAAACCGACTGTAACGTTTTTACGTGTTAAATCCTTCTTATGGATTATTTTCTTCCTCTTCAAAATAAGAACGAATACTTAAAGAAAAGAAACTCAATTTTTCATTCAACAACATTTTATCTAATATTCGTAAAAAAAAATTAGCCGACAAAAAAGGAAATTTTGCGAAGCGACAAAGAATGAGATTAAAATTTTTTAGAACTGTTTCTATCCTGATGAATCTTTTTTGTAGGTGGGACTATACTTACAACCAATAACATGCACATACCAATAAAAATCCAATAGGATACTCTTTGTTGAAATTATTCATGCAGAAATAGTCATAATAAACGAATTCATGACAATTTTCCCCAATGGGATAAAATTTTAAACACGTACATATACATAACGGTGTAAAAAAACTTTAGAATTTACTGTTGAATATTTGCTGTGTAAAATTGATCAAGATTATTTCAGAAATCTATTATAAAACGTGTTTCAACTGCTATACGAAAAATGTAGTATCGTTGACATCTCAATTTATAGGTCACTTTTCATTCCGGTATAAAAGATTTCCATTGCCAAAGTAGTATTTGAAAATACGACAGGAGCAAAATAGTTAATAAATCTTACTTGCATAAATAGCAACAATGTTTTTTTAGAGCATACTCAGCAACTTTTTTGTTAAAATTTCAAAATATCTTTGTTCGAATATCTTTGTTACATTCCCATTCAAAATTTTAAATTATATTTTCAATCACTTTACATTGAAATAGTAAACAACACAAATAGCAATTAGAAAAGGATACGTTCCACATTGCAGTAACAACAAAATTTTTATATTAAGTTTTGGATGCATTAATTGCTGCATTTAACCTGAACATAAATTAGATTGAACAATCGTGTTAATATATTAACTTGGACCTTGAGAAATAAATATGCGGTTCTTAAAAAAAAAAACAGGGACAACATAAATTATTGTTCTAAAATTTAACATAAATTCACAATTAAATTTAATTACGAAAGGTATATGAATTTAATGTCTTCTACTGTCACGCAATCAATAATATAAATTAACATGATGCACATTTCGATTTTATGAACAAAATTAATCAAATAATAGTTTTAAATTTAAATTAATAGTTTAGTTCTTCAAAGGCATTGAAACCAGAAAAAAAAAACATTTTTAAATATTTCAAACTAAGTACAAAGAAAAAAAATGAATAAAATATTTTCTGGTTATTTGACAGAACTTTCCGTTCATGGGTTAAAATACTTAGTCAATACAAAACTTCTAGTTTTAGAACGTATTTTATGGTTTATTTTAATAACATTTTCAACAATTTTTACAATTTACATTTGCTTAGATCAGTGGTATCGTTTTAAAAATAATCCTGTTGTTTTAACTGTTGAAGTGATCAATGACGCAGAAGATTATCCCTATCCGCGCCATACAATTTGTTTGCTATATGATGACGAAAATGTTAATAATGAAATTATTTTAAGGTAATTAATTTTTAAACCGATAAATTGCATATTAATTTAATATTATCGGAATTATAGAAACCTATATGTTGCTTTTCCATCAAGTATATTATTAAAAATTTTGTTGTGAGATTTTCTTTATTAACAATTAAGAATGTCTTTAAAAAAACTTTTAAAATGAGCAGACACACAAAGAAAATTTTAGTTTCGGTTACCTTTTCGAAAGCACACAACATTACACAACATTAAAGTTTTCATTTAATTTAGATTTCGTTATCTGTTAAGAAACTTATATAATAAATTTACCTATTCTATTTTAGAAAATGGGGTGTATCCAAAGATGACAAGGATAATGGAAGATATAATTACTATAAAAATTTCCTTAAAATATTGTCAAACATAGAAGTATCAAATTTGAATGAATTGAAGCCGTACGAAAATGATGCAACGATAAAAACTTCTGAATTTGTTGACTTAATGCTAGAGGTTGTCAAATTCCTTTTTTTAATTAAAAATAATTACTATATACCGATGTAACAACCACACATATGATAAGTACATTATGTGTGAAATTGTTTTCAGCTCGATTCTAAAATTTGTTAAATCTTTAATCTAGTACATAAGTAATATAAATATGGGAAAATAGTTAAGTTACACAAAATATTTTTGTAGCTGTACTTATTACATGTGTGAGCAAATTATTGCGTTATATATAATCACTTAACGGTATTTTTATAATTACAATGTTGTTTAGATGTCATCAAAAATATCATTTACATTTGGCATTGATTTAACAAATATAAGTTATCCATATAAAGATCAGGAGGCAATAGATGCTTTAACTTCAAATGGAAAATATACTAGAGTTATAACAGAAAGTGGATTGTGTTTAACTTCATCAAAAGCAAATAATTATCAAAATCCCGATAAAATAATAAGGTATTAACGTCGACTTAAGAAAACAAAAAAATTAGCATACAAACAATATAAAATGTAATTAAAGTTCCAGAGAGCAAACCTATAATGATGACGAAGAAATATGCTCAAGATATATGTTCTGCTTCGAATCTTTTCAAGTTGCTTTTAAATACAAATTTTTGGTAAATTTTTGATTAACCATTGAATTATTTTGATTAACCAATAAAATTGCGTAATATAAAATGTTTTTTCTTTCAAACTTTTGATAGGCAATACATGAATCCGATGACATTTATGAATATGATAAAACAAAATTTTATGATAATAGTCATACATGTAAAATTCCTCTTGATCTAAGCCCAGTTGAGTCGGAAGTTGAATTACGAAAAATTCCAATTGCATATAGAAAATGCCGATTTAAAAATGAAAATAATCTAAAATATTTTAACGTAAGTAATTTATAACTTATAAAAATAATTTGTTACAATATAAATAAGAACAAGCAACTTATTGCATTTGAATTTTAACATAAATATCATGCGAGTATGCATAATTAAAATTCAAATGCAATAAATATAATAATAAATTTTTATTTTTCTATCAGGAGTACAAGCCAACATTTTGTAAAATTGAATGTCGTATTAAGAAAGCAATGGACCTATGCAAATGCAAACCTTTCTTTTATGTGATTGGAGAAAAGTTACCACTTTGTGATATCAAGGGCTTATTATGCTTATCAAGAACAAATTGGTATAATGTAACAAAGGAATGTGAATGTTTTGAATTATGTGCAAATATTGAGTACATTAACCAAGGAGAAATTGTAATTTTTGCAATTTAAAAATTTTTTAACAAAATATTAAAAGAATTTCAATAACTCTTATTACTTTTCGTAGTGTACCTTAAGTCAGGATGACAGCGCAAAAACGATAGTAATTACAGTACCAAATTTTTCTCAAAGAAAATTAGTTGTTTTTAGTATAGATCAACTGGTAATTTCATTTAGTGGGGCGGTTTCTTTCTTTTTGGGTTGCAATTTTTTAAGTCTTGCAGAAATTTTTTATTTTTTACTTGAAACATTGTTAGAAAAATTCTCAAATTCGCAATATTAAATTGCGTTTTTGTTCATAAATTTTATAATTTTTCTTCAAAAAAAAAAAAAATAAAAACAAACAAATTCCAATAATTGTCATTTAATCCTTATCATAAGTGTATATTATTAAAAGTTATAAAAAAAAATCAATCAATAAATTATATACATAATTGTATTTACTATATAGAAGTGTTATCAAAAAAAAATCTATAAAAACAAATTGAATACTTATTTATTTTCAATAAAGATATAATAAAAATTTTACTTTGGCTATATGCTCTAATTTAATATTTCTATGTACATGTGCTTTGGTATAGACAGTAGCCCTAACTTTACAGTAAACCGCAATTGAATAGAATTAAAATTTAACAGTATGAATCATTGGCGTAAATTCATGTCATGTCACATTATTATTATCTTATAATCGATCTTATAATCGATCATTATCTTATAATCGATCGAATCATTTAATTGTCATTTTGTTTGTTGAAGAATTCAAAAGCCGCCAAAATCTGATTTGTGATTGCTCATAAATATATTTAAAAGAACATGTAAACAGTGGGCAGATTCACGAAAGTTTGTTCTAATACAGTCACTCGAACGTAAAACAACCAATAACTATTTATGTGATTTATTTTGGAGTTTTGCAATTTTGTTCACCCTCAAAACCTAAAAAATTTATTTAAAACACTACAATACAATTTTCTCTATAGTTTAAAATAATATCTAATTTAAACTTACATATTACTATTGCATTGGAATTTGTATTCAGTTTTTTCTATTATAATAGATTTCAATTTTCATTTTCTTAATAATTTCATTACAATAATTATAGTGTTTAATTGCTACTTTCTATTAAAATTTAACCTTAATTTCCACTCACTATTAATGAAAATTATTTTATAAAATTATATACTCGTATAAGCACAAAAAGAAAAGTCAAAAACATGGTTTATAATATTGTTTGTTATAAAATATATATTAAGATTAATATAGTATAAATCAAGTAAAAATTAAGTTTAGTAGGTGAATAATAATATATTACAATATAAATTTTAGAATTCACAATATATTTATGTTAAAATTTAAATATGAGCACAAACGAACGAATTACATGGCTGACATCAATGGTTGTATTAAAATAAAAATAAGAAAAGCACGCGAATATATCTTTGGTATTCCCGTATATTAAAAAACAATTTTATTTATTATTCTAATTTCACTTAGTTAACAGATGAAAATGATGAGAAAAAAAATTGTTATTCAAATTAAGACGTTATATGTATTTATTGGGAGTAAATAAGTATTTGTTGGGAGTACTTATCCAATTTTGATTCAATATCTAAAAAAATTTGTTGCACTACACGATACTCTGATCAAATTAATCACTTAAAAGTGTTCAAAACTTATTCGGTTTCTTTTGTTTTGTTTGAAAACTTTGAAAATGACTCTATCATATGTAGCTTACACTCATTCCAAATTTTAAGAAAACAAGTAAAAAGTTTTATTTCGATCTTAGCCAAACTTTCTTTATTGAAGCAATAAATGAAAAGATAAGGACAAAAGGCAAAGAGAAAAACTGAAAAGATAAAGGGTTCCAGCAATTTAAAATCGCGTTGCTATGAGATAAATTTTTTAAAATGTCACTGTAAAAAGATTTGTGGGACTTTCCAAAACTTTTAAATAATAAAGCACGTAATCATATTAAGTTAAATTTTGAAGTTATATAGACATTATAAAGTGACGTACTATAAAAACAAACATATGTATCAAATTTCAATTTTTGGATTTTCTTTCTTTCTCAAATGAATGCCCCAGTAACAGACGGATAGACATGGCTATATCGACTTAGAACTCTTCCATCTTATTAAATTGAATATAAGGCCATATGTAATATATAGACAGATTAACCTAGTTACTATAAATGTATCTTTAAATATCAAACATTGATTATCAGTTTGAGTTGGTTTTTTTAGAGCGTATGCCTCAAAAGTTTATAAGTTTACCAAAAATGCAAAATGAATAAACTCAGATATAAATTTTTATTAAAATCAGTTAAACTTGAAATTGCGATAAAGAAGGCTCTTTGAATTTCTAATTCGTCTAATAAAAAGATTTGTTTTTAAAACTTGTATTATCGCATTGATAATTTTCTTTTCGAATTATTAATACGCGCAATTATTTTATTTTTGTGTACTAACAAATACTTTTGAAGAATTTATATACATACTTATTTTAAAATCATAAAAACTGAAAACAATTCAATTAATTATCAGTTAATATTATTTTGAACAGAATTGTTAATAGGATTGTTATGATTTTCACAATATTATCTTAAACGCCTAAACTAATAGCTTCAGAAATTTTAATATGAAAGAACTTTCTAAACAAAAATATAAATAAATAGTACAAATTTTGCAAATTTAACCACATGAGTTCTACAAAACCTGGTGCATAATCCGTTAAAAAAAAATATTAAAAATTTTCTTGTTTCACTTTTAAATACTGCAATTCTCATAAGTAAATTTAGATAGTAAATACTAGTATCTAAAGTGTGACCTCCAAATAATTTGTCGGGAATTTGGAATTTACTTTTATAGTAAAAATGTAAAATCTAAAAAATTTTATGTAGTATGTAGAAACGAATTTAAAGAGATTCTTTTTCCAACAAATTAATTATTTCTTATCAAGAATTCTAATTTTTTAATTTATCAATTTTGAAAAGCCTTCATATTGTTCCAAACTCTCGTGTATTAAATTTTCAACACATTGTTACATTATGCCAATTACTTTCTCTCTTTTCCTTTACATTTAAAGAAGCAAATGTAAAATTAAGAAAGAGATCAAAATTTGTGTTTAATAACGGATTAAGTTTCTTTTCACAATCAATAAATCCAACTGAATTTCGTAATAAATTTTCTAATCTTTAATTTCTACTGATTCGGTTTGGATATGTATATGTAAGTATGAATTATTACATTACATAATATACATACAGGCAAAGTAAATTTTGGAAAAAATTATAGAAATGGAAGGGAAATCTACTTCTAATAAATAATTTTATATTTTTTATGACAGATACAAGTTAGGTACGTTTCTGCTATAGGAACAAAACAAAATGTCAAACAATAATTAATAAATTATTTATTGTAGTTTTAGTTTTTATATGCTCATATTACTATTTATAAAACACAAATGTGTATGTATGTATATATATATTTACATTAGTGAGTTAGATAATACATACACATGCACGTAATAAGAGCTACTAAAACAATATACGTTACATACATATCTGTATTTTTATTGTTGATAAATTAATCAAAAAATCAATAGAGCTGATAACATTCGTACATACAGGATGTTTCACATATAAGGTGAAAAATAATTTCAGGAATGATTCTTTATTTAATTCCCAGTAAAAAATTGTACGTGTGTGCGGTAGGGGTGAATGTAAATTTGTTTACGAACAACAGCCTGTAGAAAAAAAAGGAACCAGATTTTCCCTGTATGTATATAGATGCTTGTAACTTTGGAACCATGAGATATAGAGTAGCTTCCATCTTGTTTTACAGGCAATTGATTGTTCTTTATTTTCGGTTTTACTGTCCCATAAAAGAGCATACTGTCCCATAGTTTTGAAGATAGATCTCACCAAAGTCAGAATTTTTGTTTTTTTTTTTGAATTTTTTTTTAAAAACTCGAAATTTCTCGAAAGTTTGTCTTAATATGTTTTTTTTTTTATTTATAAATGTTATATGGTTTAAATAAAAAAGTTAAACCATATAACATTTTCCTCTATCTCTCACAGCCAATAAAACTTGTTAAATATGTTTAAAAATTGCATATTTCATACATTTCATATTAGAGTACGAAAAGCCTTTTTAAACACTTTCCCAAAAAACTTTTACTCATTAGTTTCACTCTGTCCGCCCGTCCGTGCGCATGTTTACAAAACTTTTACACCCTTAAGAATAGAGAGCTGAAATTTTATATGTACTTATATATGTAGATCTTTACCAGAAATTTATTTCCGAATTAAATTTGTACCTATCTGCCCGCCTTTAAAAGTTATAAACCTAAAGCTTTAAAAATGTCATTTTTTGACTATTTATTGCAGTGAAACCAAAAACTTTTCACAAATTTTGCAAACGCGGAAATATAATAGCTGGTTTTTCTTACACGGCATACCATACTCAAACTTTTAAAAAACAAAAAGGCCTTTAAAGTTTACCGTTATCTAAAATCCTTTTTTTTAAGCTTTCAAGGTAGTTTTTCTTCTAGACCACAGATTGTAAAAGTCTGAAATTTTAATAGCTTTTAGACATTAATAAATAGTTCATTCATTAGAAGAAAATTTTTTCCCACTTGAAATTTGTAAAATTTTATTTTTTGGCACCTAATATTTTCGAAGCCTAAGCTTTTTCAAATTTCTCTAAACGTAGAAAGCTAACGGTAAACTTCATGCCATTGAAGAATATAATTATTTTTCTATAATCGCACGCAATTAACCCTTAAAATCGAGCGTTATGTTAACACCTTTTTAAATTAATTTTTTCTCTATTTCAAAGACTGCATAAATCGTTCATCCTGAATGTATGCAATCCTTAAATTTCGTATAAATAGGTACATAGATTGTTTTTAAAAGCAGTATTTCCAATTGTTGAAGGGAAAAGCGCCACTGGTTTGACCCAACTTCATTTAAACTTTACAGTAATTTTATAAACTAAAGACAAATAGACAAAGTTGGACGATCTGGTTAAATTTTAATATTTCATTCGCTTTCAGTTCCAATAAAAGAAAAAATAATCCCGCATGAAAGAACAGTGATAGACCAATAGATGCAGATAAAAAGAAAAATTAAAGATTCGAAGAATATCCATATTTCCGGAAAGAAAG